TTCCTTTAAGTGAACTTGTTGCATGATTTTACTTAGCAATAGTCAAGTTATTTTTAAAACAAGCTATTAATAATGAAATAAAGAGTTACAGTAATCAGAGTTAATACTTAAAAAATTATGTCTAGGGGTGCCTGGGTGGCTCAGTGGGTTAAAGCCTCTGCCTTCTGCTCAGGTCATGATCCCAGGGTCCTGGGATCGAGACCCACACTGGGCTCTCTGCTCTGCGGGGAGCCTGCTTCCTCCTCTCTCTCTGCCTGCCTCTCTGCCTACTTGTGATCTCTGTCAAATAAATAAATAAAATTTTTTTTTAAATAAAAAATTGTGTCTATACTGGGGCAACTGGGTGGCTCAGTGGATTAAGCCTCTGCCTTCGGCTCATGTCATGAAGTCAGGGTCCTGAGATTGAGCCCCACATCAGGCTCTCTGCTCAGCGGGGAGTCTGCTTCCCCCTCTCTCTCTGCCTGCCTCTCTGCTTACTTGTGATCTCTTTCTCTCTGTGTCAAATAAATAAACTCTTTTAAAAAAATTATGTCTAATACTAATTTCATATTTAACCCAAAATCCCCTAATATCTACATCTACAAGCCTGTACACTGAGAACTCCTGTTGATAAGATATGATCCTCAAGCATAGCAGGAGTTTCAATTATCAGAGTAAGATAGGATTATATTTGAATACTGCCTTTGATCATTTAAGCTTTTCACCAAAAGTCCTACCAAAAATACATCATTAAGCAGAAATTCCAAATAATAAATTTTATTAGCAATTTTAAAGTAACTTATTTCTGGTCAAGCATCTCATATACAATTACTGTGTATAATGTTGTGCTATTTTGTACAATTATTTAGAATTTTTTACACCTCAGTATGTATCCTAAAACACATACTGAGTGTTTAGGTCAAATGGCCTAAATGTTTGTTTGTAGTTCACTAAAGTGAAAAAAAGCCAATCAACAGAAATAGCACAATAAAAGATGAGAATCATAAAAACAAGAGTATCATACATAGTGGCCATCACGTAGAACCCGAACATCTATTACTTTATTTTTACAAGGAAGGACACCTAGGAAGAGTGAAATAAAAGAACTTTGACACTGAGAAATCTACTTGTGTTTTAGAAACAGATCCACTTAAGTGTCTTCTCCCAATCAATTTAGATAATGGCATTTTAACAGATTTCCATTATAAATTTTCAGCCTCTTTCAACTGATGCTTTGTAAAAAGAGATTACAGACAACTTTACATCATCAGTAGGAAATAATCCATCCCAAACTGGCTTTGCCTACTAACCAATATACTTTTGAATTGCCTTCTACTCCACTGAGTATGTGTGCAAGGAAAATGTATTAACTTTATATTTAGCTTAAATGAAACATTAAAGACAGATGCTACAAGGCGCACTTGCATGGCTCAGGTGATTAAGCATCTTCCTTCAGTTCAGGTCATGATCCTAGGGTCCTGGGACCAAGCCCTGTGTCAGGCTCCCTGCTCAGAGCTTGTTTCTCCCTCTTCCTTTGCGATTCCTCCTGCTTGTGCTCTCTCCCTCTCTCCCAAATAAATAAATAAAATCTTTTAAAAAAAACAGATGCTTCAAAAAGGCCATTTTTTTTTACATTTTTATGTATCTAAATTTATGTTCCAGCTCACCCACTTACTAACTAAGACAAGTTACAGAACCAATTTCTTCACTCTCTCTTAGCTTCAATTTCCTCATCTAAAAATGGAGTAAAACTATGTCACCTACTTTGTGGCATTTTCATAAGGATCAACTGAAATAGTACGTATAAACTATTTAGTTACAAGCCTGGCTAGTAAGTGCACAGTAAATGAAAGCTATGATAATTCATAAAATAACTTCTTCACTATAAGTTAATTATGGTCAAACTGAAGATATCATAGAAAACACATAATGTTCAATGTACAGGTTACATTGAACATTATGTGTTTTAAGAAGTACACTTCTCTCAAAGAAGAGATATAATCCTTAAAATATATTTATTGATTTTTTTTGGTTACTTTTAATCAAACCATATTTACCTAACTCCTACTCTGAAATTTCCAATGGAAAGAAAAATTGCCAATAGAGAAAATGTGGCTGTCAATTGTACCTTTCTTTAAATCACATTGATGAACCCACAAGCAAATCTTTGTTAAAAACATCACTCATTTAAAGAGGAAAGTGGTAATATTCTCATTAAACATTAGAATATTCAAGCCACAAAACAGAAATGTTATAAACGTTTTTAAAACACTGTCAACACTGTACACAAAAACTTAGAAACTAGTAAGAATCATTTTTGCCTAAGAGTACAAGTATGATAAAGGCAGGTGCATGTCTGAAACAGAGTGAACCAGTGGGAACAGTAGCACAGGAAGTTATCAAAGGAGGGAAGGTGAGGATCAGATCATATAGGGCATTATAAGCCATTTAAGTGTACTGACTTTTGTACACCAAGTGAAATGGGAACCATGGAGAGACCTGATGAGCCAACTGATAGAATACTCTTCAGGATTTAAATGGATAATATTTCTGTATTGAAAATATTCTGTAGAGGGTCATAGTGAAACATGGAGACCAATTAAGAGTTGTAGTAGTCCTATAGTCCTACCACTACTGTGGCATTCCAGGTAAGATTTCAACTAGTGTGGGGTCAGTGAAGGTGATAAGAAATGGTCAGCTATTCCAAGTACCTTACTTTGAATGAAGAGTTAATGGGTTACGAAATGAATTAAAGGTAAGAAAAAAATAGTAAAAGACAATTCAAACGATTTTGGCCTAAGTAACTAGGTAGACAGATATACCACCAGCTGAGAAGGGGAAGACACTGGGAGGAGCAGGTTTGGAGGAGAATATCAGCAGTTCAGTTTTGAATATATTACTTTGGAGAACTCTACTGATCATCCAAGGTGAGACACTGATTTTGAAGTTGATATATGAGTCTAGAGTATAGACATGAGGACTAAGCTGGAGGTAAATTTGAGAATTGTGAGCACACAAATGGGATTTAAAAGCTCAGTATTGATTGTAATTACCAAAGAAGATAATATAAAGAGGAAAAGATGTCCTGGGCCTCTACTTTAAAGGCTGAGAACATGAAAAGGAATCAGCAAAGAAGATTGAAAAGAAGCTGCCAAAGAAGCAGAAGGAAAACCAAATCAATGTTGGGGGTATGGAAGGGTGGAAGCATTTCAAATTTGAGAGAATGATCAACTGTATCAAATGCTACTCAAGGTCAATTAAGATGTTTTATCTCTATGGTAAGGCTGTCACTGATGTCTTCTATTCTTTTCCCAATCCCAGTGAGTATCCTTATGATATGATCCTTGCTTTAAATTCTCCATCAGGCATGTTATTTACATCTGTTTCACTTAGATTTGTAGCCGAGGCCTTAGCTTGTTCTTTCATTTGGCATAAATTCCTTCACCTTTGCATTACCTCTAAGTGTCTTTCTCTGTGTTAGAAAATCCAGTTACGTCTCCTGCTCCTGCAAGTAATGTCCTTATGAAGAAGAGGTCATGTAGTGTCCAAGGCCTGGAGCTTCAGGGAGTGTCTCTGGTGTGTGCTGCATGTACTCTGCTGTTGTTTTGGGGTGCTGTATCCTTTAGGCCAGTACTCTGCAGAGGCCCTCCTTGCCTGCTGTGGCCAGTGTTTGGTCCCTGGCCTGAATGTGGTGAGTTTAACCAGGTATACTCTGGTCTTAAGAACGAGTCTTATCACCATCTCCACTGGAACTCCCTTCAAAACTCTCTGGTCAGGAGATGTGGTGAAGTCAGAGCTTTATTCTGGTCTTCTGAAGGTTAGGCCCACTGTGCTGGTTCTGAAGCAGGCCTGAGAAGGGTACCTCCAATGAAGCACAGGGGGTGGGGCTTGGTTTGAGCAAATTATGCAGGCAGTGTTGGTGCTGGGCTGCTTCCAGCAGCTGGCTCACTGTTTATGTTGTTATGTGTGGGGGAGGGGAAAGGCTCCAGCCAGCTCCTTTGTTCCCAGAGAGGTATCTCAGTGAATGCTGCCTCTCAGGGGAAAGCTCAGAGGATAGCAAGTAATTCCCATTCATTCCAGGTGCTCTTCAGATTGCTTTTACCAAGCAATGTCCTTGGGTTGCTGCCTGCCTTCTCTCTAGGAGCAGAGTGGTGCCCTCAGGGCTCTAACCCAGCCAAGCTTGCTGACCTTCAAAATTCCAGGCTTTAAACCCTACTGGTTGCAAGAACTCATGAAACTCTGTCCCTCTTGTTTTCCGAAGCCAAGGGCTTTGGTGAAACAATCTCCATGTACATCCCCCCATGTGCTTCTCTTTCTCTCTCCTTCTGTCTCTCTCTAGCACTTCTCCAGACCAGAGCTCCCTCCCCTCCTCAGTAGCTTTGATCCATTCTTCCCCTAAACCACATCTCTGCACTTCCTACCTTCTTTGATGTGGTCTCTTCTCTCCCTTCATTTATAGAGTTTATTCTGTCAGTCTCCAGGTTGATTTCTGAGGTATTTAGACTGATTTGATAGCTCTCTACCTGTGTTCATGAGATGAGTTGAGCCTAGTGTCTTCCTACTCTACTGCCATCCTCCTCCTTCTCTGAGGCACTGTTTCTCCTCTATGTTTTCCCTTGTTGTTTTACCCTCTGTCTTCCCCACTCTATTTCATATACCTAACAAGATACCTTGTGTTGTTTCCAGCAAAGTGAAATTTGGCCTATTTTACTTTACAGAGACAGAAACACAAATCAGTTAAGTAAAAAACTGGATTCAATGTGCCTGAGACTACAAAATACTAGAGAACACAAATAAAAAAGAGAGCCCCTTCTTTCTGGAGCTCACTGTAGAAGTAATAAGTGAGGATGTTTTAGTTCAAAAACACAGATACTTCTGAAAATAGTTCTGTGTTATCAACAGGTTTCTGGTCTCTCTTTTACATTACAAACACAATCCATACAAACATACCTACTTAAAACCCCATGCTATCTTGGACACACAAATTTTAAAATCACAACAAAAATAGGGGTCTAACTTACCATCATTTTTTCAAAGAGATCCAGTACTTCCTTTTCTGACAAATTCAAAGATCGTTCATCATACAATGGCTGAGCTGCTGGAAACTCACTCATTGTAACTTGAGAATCAATAGGATGTTGAATAAGAGGTTTTTCTTTTTTGACAGTAGATTTTCTAAAACTTGTAATTCGGTCACGCTACAAAGAAAAAAATAAGAAACTCTAAGAAAGAAACCCAGAATCACAAATACAAAGTACTGAAACATCAAAATAGCACTTAATACAAGAAATATCAAAATAGCACTTAGTATAATATGTATAATTATTGTCTTTTGACAAACTTAAGCAACAAGCTCCAGTTAGAGATTGTACAATTTTGGAAAAATTTGTAATAGTTCTTCAGTCTCAGAAGTCTGAGGTGTGAAAAGCATTTCTCAAAAGTAAACCTTAGTCCCTTATTTCTGTTTCACACAGTAAGTAGGTAAAAAAAAAAAAAGTCCTGCATCAAGGTCACATGGTTGTTTAAGGGAGAATGTAGCTTTGAACTACGAGAAATAAAGAAAGGAAATATAAAGAGCCCCAATGTTCAATTCTAAGGGGTAAATTACGGTAACATTTCTCTCTTCGAAGTGCCAAAAATTGTGACAAGTAGCTATGGATACTTTGTCAGCATAGCGGTTGAGTATAATAGTTAAGGACATAGATTCTGAAGCCAGACTGCCTGGGTCTGAATGTGCCCTTTACTAACTGAGGAACCCTGTGCAAATTATGTGTGCTGTTTCCTAGTCTCTAAAATATGTATAACAAGTGGCATCTGGGTGGCTCTTTCAGGTAAGTGTCCGACTTTTAATTTCGGCTCAGGTCATCATCTAGTAGGGATCATGAGATCGAGCCCCCACCCACACAGGGCTCTATGCTCAGTGGGGAATCTGCTTGAGATTTTCTTTTTCTCTAAAATAAATAAAGTCTTTAAAATACAGATAACAAGTACCTATACCACAGAGTTATACTGAGATTAAAATAAGTTGTTATGTTGAATGTACTTCTCTGCTATTTATTTTATAATTGTTGCTGTTACTATGACTGCCCTTTTTTTACCTGAAAATTGGGAATAACAAGACATCACCTTTTCCATTTAATGGCAATGTTAACATATACAGAATTATCTTATTCCTACAACTACTATTATGAAGAATTTCATGTTTCATGGATATTGACTCTGAAACTTTGGTTCCATGCACAATCTCTAATAATTAGCTTGCTATTTCACATAAAGTATATTAATGAGTCCAGGTACATATGAACATCCCAATCTGTTTTAAACCACAAAACACTAGATCTCAGAAATTAGTAATGTCCATAAAACTGAATGCAACTCAGTTTTATTCTGGTTTCTGTTAGAAAGCACATGCATACCATCAATTCATGTTAAACAAGCACACATGTTAGATGTGAGAACAGTAATCTTCCTGCCATGTTACTGAGTCCTTATAAATTATTTCAAATATTACAATTATTACAAACTGCATCACAGAAGTTATTACAACAACTTAATTTTCTGTTGACTCCCCCCATTAAAAAGAACACACTTTTCATTTTGATTCAAGGAACGCTTTTTTTTAATTAAAAGTTGTATTTTTAAAGAAATACGAGCAGTTTTATACAGCTTATTTAGGATTACAAAAATGATTTCAGTACATGGTTTCATACAAAGTTATTATATAAATCATAGTGTTTTAGAGCTGGGAAGAATTTGAAAAATCACCTAGACCCTCTCATTTCACAGAAAAAGTGATTCAATAAATTTGTAAGCCCTGGTTCCAGTCCCAATGTTCACATTAAGATTTATTTCTTTAAATTATCCTGAACTATATTCTAATTTTCTTTTAACTCTTAGAGGAAAATTAAGTTGGTTTAGGTATGTATTACATTTTCAAACAACTCTATTAAGTAATCCCAAATAAGCTTGAGTACATATTCAACAGTCAAATTTCACTAAAAAAATATGGTGGACATAAAAGCATTTAAATATGTAATTTACCATTAAATCAATGTTTTTCTGTTCCTGTTACTTCATGTCACTTTTGTAGTGCTAGATTTTAACTGAGTAGCATTATTTACATATATACTTGATCTTCCATTATGCCCTTCATTTCTATCTAGAAAATAGGCTTTTGCTTTCGGCTATACTCTAATAAGAACATGAAGTTAAGCTATACAATTTTATCTTCTTGAATCTACTAATGTTTTACATTATTTGTAATTTCACAAAAGAAAAAAAAATGGACACTGCTTAAAATACTGTATTTTAAAAGTTTAACTATAAAAGGGCACACTTAAAAGTTAAGCCCATAACTTTTAATAAGTTTTACTATGATAGCCTTAGCTCAAAATATTTAAGAATTTTAAATTTAATAGCATATATCTAATATCATTAACTTACTTTCCTTTCTACATTAATTTCCCCCAATATTGATATTAATCTTTTACTTATTCACAGTTTCCTTGGCTATCATAAAAGAAAAAAGTCTGTATTTTCCAGAGTTAGATTTATATACAGTCAAAAAAAATTCTGGTTAAGGTATATAGTAGGATAAAATCAAAATTTTATTGAGTTCTCAGATAATTCTTTACTTTAATATCCAAAAAAAACAAAAGAATCTCTTAACAAGTCTTCCATTCTACTGTACTTTTAAACATTTATATATATCTTACATACATGAATGCTTTAATGTCCACCCACTTTAGTTAAAAAAGGCAACATGCACAAGTAACATAACATGCTACTAAGACCACCTTACCACATCATCTGCCAAAGTTTTTATTTGAATGTTCTATTAAAACCAAAAGGGAAAAAAAAAACCTGTCAGATAAGAGAATTCATAGATCAAACAAATTAATAATTGAATGATAACCCATTGATTTTATTAATTATAACTAATCAAAAAGAACTAGCAACTTTAAATATATAACCAAATACATTTTTTACAAAGGGGAAAAAAACACTCTTTAAGGATTAAAAATGAAGATTTGGATGGGGGTGTGTACTTGTTTTTAAAGATGACTTGCAGGGTCCCAAAGTCAGATCTGGATCAGACATCATTACCATAGTGCTCAAACATGAGAAAAGAAATTGCAAAGTCTTAAGTCCTTTCAAGTTTTTTCAAAGTTTTAGAATGAATCATATATATGAAATAAATAAATTTTTAAAAATGGAAAAATGTCACATTTAATATAAATGAAATAAATGAAAGAGCTGTGTCTAAAATCCAGTTACATTTGATAAAGGAAATCTTCAAAATATACTAGAAAAAACTGAATTAACAGATTCTGTTAATCTATGTCCATTTCTCAAAAATTCCAAAACATGTTTTTTCCATGTGGTTTTCTACTGCTGAAAAGCACTTAAAATGGTATATCCTAGTTAATAAAAGAAAGTGGCTAATAAAAGCTACCATACAACAAAATGGGCACCACTATTTGAAGAATTAGGGTATAGCAATGCTAAAGTAATAAAGCAATATTACAGTAAAGTAAACAAAGTAATAATAGTTTAGTAAACTTCCATGATTGAGAAGGTGATTCAAGATCTTACAATAACATATGATCAGCATGAAGGGCAATTATTATAAGTACGTTGAAATTTTAATTAAAAATTCTGATTTGGGGGCACAGTTGTTAAGCATCTGCCTTCAGCTCAGGTCATGATCCCAGGGTCCTGGGATCGAGCCCCACATCTGGCTAACTACTTAGCGGGAAGCCTTCTCCCACTCCCCCCTGCTTGTATTCCCTTTCTCGCAGTCTCTCTCTCTCTCTCTGTCAAATAAATGAATAAAATCTTTAAAAAATAATAAAATAATAAAGATTGTGATTAGGGAGGAAAGAGATTTTTAAAAATCACCAGCTGAGAATTAAAAGTAAACTTTCTGCCACATCCTACACATTTATGTCTTATAACAGAAGCTGAGGGGCGCCTGGGTGACTCAGTGGGTTTAGCCTCTGCCTTTGGCTCAGGTCATGATCCCAGGGTCCTGGGATAGAGCCCTGCACCAGGCTCTCTACTCAGCAGAGAGCCTGCTTCCCCCTCTCTCTCTGCCTGCCTCTCTGCCTATTTGTGATCTCTGTCAAATAAATAAATAAAATCTTTAAAAAAAAATAACAGAAGCTGAATGATGTACACCAACTTGGTCAAGCTTGCTCACATCCCTTTTTACTAAAAGGGATATTAGTACTCGTAGCTGAGTACTTCCCAAATCTGGGGAAAGAAACAAGAATTTGTGTCCTAGAGTCAGAGAGAACAATCCCCAAGATGAAGGAGAACAGACCAAGAGTGACCCTTGTGAATCTTAATACCAGGGAAACCATCTTAAGGGCAGGTAGGCGAAAGAGATTCCTTATCTACAAAGCGAGGAACATCAGAACAAGCTCAGACCTGTCCAGCGAGATCTGGCAAGCCAGAAAGGGCTAGGAAGACATATTCAGGATACTAAATGAGAAGAAACAAAAATTCTTTATCCAGCATGGCTGTCATTCAGAATGGATGGAGTGATAAGGAGCTTCCAGGACCAGCAGAGATTAACAGAATATGTGACCACTAACACGGTCCTGCAAGAAATATTAAGGGGGGTTCCATAAACGGAGAAAGAACCCCATGGGTGATATAAAACAGAAATATACAAAGGCGAACCACAGAAACAAGGACTTCGCAGACAACATGATGACAATAAAATCCTATCTTTCAATAATCACTTTCAACGTGAACAGCCTAAATGCTCCCATAAAACGGCACAGGGTTGCAGACTGGATTAAAAGACAGGACCGATCCATATGATGTCTACAAGAGATTCATTGTGAACCTAGGGATACATCCAGACTGGAAGTAAAAGGATGCAAAACCATCTTCCATGCCAAAGGACTGCAAAAGAAAACTGGGGTAGCAATGCTCATATCAGACAAATTAGATATTAACCTAAAGACTGTAGTCACAGATACAGAAGGACACTTTATCATTCTTAACATTTCTATTCAACAAGAGGATCTAACAACTGTAAATATCTATACCCCCAACATGGGAACAGCCAACTACATAAGCCAAGTGTTAATCAAAATACAGACATACTGATTATAATACATTAACTGTAAGGGACCTTAACATTCCACTCTCAGCAACAGACAGATCATCTAAGCAGAAAATCAACAACAAAACAAGAGCTTTGAATGACACATTGGACCAGATGGTCCTCATAGATAAATACAGAACATTCCACCCAAAATATAGCAGAATACTCATTCTTCTCAAGCACACATGGAACTTTGTCCAGAATAGACCAAATGCTCGGTCACAAATCAGGTCTCAACCGATACCAAAAGACAGATTATTCCCTGCACATTCTCAGACCGCAATATTATGAAACTGGACCTCAATCACAAGAAAACGTTTGAAAGAAACTAAAACACTTAAAGCTAAAGACCATCCTCGTCAAGAATGTTTTGGTCAACCAGGAAATCAAAGATCTTAATCAATCCACTGAAACCAATGAGAACGAAGACACATCAGGCCAAAATCTATGGGATATGGCAAAGGTGGTCCTAATACATAGCCATCTAAGACTCACCAAAAAAAACAGAAAAATCCCAAATATACAAACTATCTATATACCTTAAAGATCTGGAGAATCAATAACAAATTATACCAAACCCATGCACAAGAAGAGAAATAATTAAAATTAGAGCAGAGATCAATGAATTAGAAACCAGAAATACATTAGAACACATCAACGAATCTAGAAGCTGGTTCTTTGAAACAATCAATAAGATTGATAAAGCATTGGCCAGACTTATCCAAAAGAAAAGAGAAAGGATCCAAATTAATAAAATTATGAATGAAAGGGGAGCGATCACAACTAACACCAAGGAAATAGAAAAAATCATCAGAAATTATTATCAACAGCTATATGCCAATAAGCTAAGCAACCTAAAAGAAACGGATGCATTCCTGGAAATCTATAAACTTCCAAGACAGAAACAGGAAGAAACTGACAACCTGAACAGACCAATAACCAGTAACAAGATTGAAGCAGTGATCAAAAACCTCCAAAAAAACAAGAGTCCAGGGGCGCCTGGGTGGCTCAGTTGGTTAAGCAACTGCCTTCAGCTCAGGTCATGATCCTGGAGTCCTGGGATCGAGTCCCACATCGGACTCCCTGCTCGGCGGGGAGTCTGCTTCTCCCGCTGATCTCTCTCTCCTCTCATGCTCTCTCTCTCTCTCAAATAAATAAATAAAATCATTATTAAAAAAAAAAAAAAAAAAAAAAAACAAGAGTCCACAACCGGATGGATTCCCGGGGAAATTTACCAAACATTCAAAGAAGAAATAATACCTATTCTTCTGAAGCTGTTTCAAGAAATAGAAACAGACGGAAAACCTCCAGATTCTTTCTATGCGGCCAGCATTACCTTGATCCCCAAACCAGGAAAAGACCCCATCTAAAAGGAGAACTTCAGAGCAATACGATGCCAAAATTCTTACCAATATCCTAGCCAACAGGATCCAACAATACATTTAAAGGATTATCCACCACAACCAGGTGGGATTTATCCCTGGGATGCAAGGGTGATTCAACATTTGCAAATCACTCAAAGTGATAGAACAAATTCATAAGAGAAGAGAGAAGAACTACATGGTCCTCTCAACTGATACAGAAAAAGCATTTAACAAAATACAGGATCCTTTCCCGCCTTTCATGGTTAAAACTCTTCAGAGTATAGGGATAGAGGGGAATTTCCTCAATTTCATAAAATCTATCTATGAAAAACCCACAGTGAATATCATTCTCAATGGGGAAAAGCTGAGTCTTTTCCTTAAAATCAGGAATATGACAAGGATGCCCACTCTCACGACTATTACTCAACATAGTACTAGAAGTCCTACCAAGAGCAATCAGACAACAAAGAAATAAACGGTATTCAAACTGGCAAAGAAAAAGTCAAACTCTTTCTCTTCGCAAATGGCATGATACTTATGGGGAAAACCCAAAAGACTCCACCCCCAAATTATTAGAACTCATACAGCAATTCAGTAATGTGGCATGATACAAAATCAATGCACAGAAATCTGTTGCTTTCTTATACACTAACAATGAAAATGTAAAAAGAAAAATTAGAGAAATGATTCCACTTACAACAGCATCAAAAACTGTAAGATACCTTGGAATAAACCTAACCAAAGAGGTGAAGGATCTATACTCAAGGACTATGGAACACTCATGAAATAAATTGAAGAAGACACAAAAAGATGGAAAAACTTTCCATGCTCATGGATCAGAAGAATAAACATTGTTAAAATGTCTATGCTGCCCAGAGCAATCTGTACTTTCAACACCATCCCCATCAAAATACCATCAGCATTTTTCAAAGCGCTGGAACAAACAATCCTAAAATTTGTATGGAACCAGAAAAGACCCCAAATCACCAAAGAATTGTTGAAAAAGAAAAACAAAGCTGGGGGCATCATGTTGCCTGATTTCAAGCTATATTATAAAACTGTGATCACCAAGACAGCCTGGTACTGGCACCAAAACAGACACACAGACCAAAGGAACAGAATACAGAGTCCAGATATGGACCCTCAACTCTATGGTCAAATAATCGTCAACAAAGCAGGAAAAAATATCTGATGGAAAAAGACAGTCTCTTCAATAAATGGTGCCGGGGGGGGCGCCTGGGTGGCTCAGTGGGTTAAAGCCTCTGCCTTCGGCTCAGGTCATGATCCCAGGGTCCTGGGATCGAGCCCCGCATCGGGCTCTCTGCTCTGCAGGGAGCCTGCTTCCTCCTC